CCCTTGCTCCGCTGTTCATCTCTCCAAGGTCTGATCTCTCTTCAGTGTCTGCGGAAATAACCGCAGGCAGCTATCATGAGGTGAGGACACACAGTATTCAAAACAATCTCTTCTTGCCTAAGGCCTAAGACATAACAGACCCACTATGCCTCCCCTTCCGGGCCTACTAATGTCAGATTTACTTACCACACATTAACAAGTTGTCATTCCTTGCATTGAACAATTCAGATTTACAAAATGAACCAAACATTTAATCCTCCTGCACCAAGCACGCTTAACTTGCAGGTCTGACGCAGTCTGCATCTCCCGTGTAGGAAAATATTGTAAAACTGTAATGAGCTGCAAGTAGCCTGTACACAGTTTAACGTATATCATGGAGAATGTTATAACAAAAACCAGTACCATTGTCAGATATATTTAATCTAACCTAATTAATGATCTCGCCTAATTAGTGCACGTGTAGACACGCCCTTATGGGTAGATAGGCTCTGCATCCAGGCCTGTATTATTTTTACCTTCTCTATGCGTTTACCACACTGCAAACTTTTAACATTCTCTTCCATTAACCGTTTAACTGATTGTATTAATCGGTTAAAATTCTTATCAGTTATCGGTTAAACGGTGCATTATGAACACCCATACGTTTAACTTTTACATTTGCCTCCCGGCATTCTATAAATCAATGCCCATCTTCTAAAGCAGTAGTTTATTCTGTAATTACGGTCTTCTTGGGGATGAGACATTTCTCATAACGGTACCAAAGTAATTTCCCTGTGATTTTATGTGAATACTGAACAGCAGAGCTGACTAACGTCAGGTCTATCTGTTTATTTGAAACGGTTATTAAATAGTACGGTATACATTTGTAATTTATTTGACCTCCTCTGTTGGTTGCAGCCTATTTAGCAGCATTTTTATTGTGCACACGTGTTAAAATTATTAAGACTATAATTTCATATCGCAAACAGGATACGTGCACGTGACGTCAAATGCAGAGCATACAAGTGGCACCGAGGCCACGCGCCGCAGCCAGAGCTTTCCCACTTGTACTGGAATGCGGTTAACTGGGGTGTGACGTCATTACCAGGTCCGACCTCCTAACTCCAAGGTAAATGGAACACAGCATTATTATATATGAAACGGATTTATAGCAAATATTATTTAACTTGTGTATGGATAGTACTGTGAAGGTAGCAAGAACCGAAAGTATTTCCGTAGTCATGGTTATAACAAATTATTGCAGCGCTATTGCGGACTGAGGCATCGCGAGCTTAGCGAAGGAAAAGGAGATTTGCTTATTGAGACAGAACACGCTCTTTATTCTAGACAAGTGTTATGCCGAAAAAGGCATCCCTGCTGTAGAATGTATGCCGGTGTTCTGACGAGTTGAGCTTTTAGGGGTTTTTTGGGGGTTAGGGTTTTAGGGGTGTTTTGGGGGTTAGGATTAGGGTTTTAGGGGTGTTTTGGGGTTAGGGTTTTAGGGTTGTTTTGGGGTTAGGGTTTTAGGGGTGTTTCGGGGGTTAGGGTTTTACGGGTTTTTTGGGGATTAGGGTTAGGGCTATCGATTACGGTAGCCTAACTCGACAAAGTAGCTCAACTCGTTTCAGATCAGCGACCAATCGGTCATTTAGAGACAGGCATGCATTCTACGGCAGGGATGCCTTTTTCGGCATAACACCAGAACAGGACTGTAATAGGCAGCCAACGAGCACCACGCCGCACGGAAACACAGGGAGGTCAGACGCCCGACCGGTAGGTACTCACGCGGTAGGTAATTTACACAATACTAATGACACGCGGACAGTGTGCACTGTCCTGTTAAGACACGAGCAAACACACGCGCAGCAATAGGGAAGTGTGCTACAGTAAAAGCCCGTTATAGCGGACTTGCCGATAACGGAATATTGTCTATTACGGACCAGGTCCGCTGGTCCAGGTGTTCCGGGCAATTCGGTTTCCCTATGTTTCCCCTGTCTATCAGGAAATAATGTTTCCCCTAATATTAAAGCAAAGAGGTATGTGAAATGTCTGAAAATCACTCAAGTACATTATTACATGTGAATACTGTATTGTTATTAGTACCGAGGCCCAAAGTTGCTGTATACCTGTTTTAACAGGGGGGAACCAATCAGTCAGGTACATTATTACATGTGAATACAGTAGATCGTCACGCATAATATAGTCTTATATAAGCAATGCTATACCGTTTTCATCAAGAAATATCTCTATTCAGCGAATTAAATACTTTCATTTATTAACTGTAAAAACAAAAAATATCGAAAAGGCATGTGATATTTTAAAATATATGGCTTGTTTACCTCAAGAGCTTCTTAAAAAGACATGAAAACAACAGCGAAACTGTGTACAAATCAGTGCGCGACAGGGGAAACATAGGGAAACTGAATTGCCCGGAACACCTGTTGTGCGCCTTGAAGAACATGCAGAAAAAGCATCAGTGTTGTTCAAAGTTCATTCACCGAGATTTTGCTGTATTAATTTCTGATAGCGAAAGTGAATCACTTTTAGCTTCGTTTGTAGATTGAAGATAAACATTCGTATATGCTTTTTCGCATTTATAACAGTAATAACATTTGTTTCGTCAAGATTAAGATTAAGATTGGTTTATTGTCAATACAACAATATACACGGTATACAGTGCATTGAAATGTCGTTCCACACAGGTGCCCCACAGTGCATTATAAAGATAAAAAATATAAAACAGACGTTTCACATAAATAAATCTTACTAAATTAGATGTGCTTCTGACCTCTTGAGTAAAGAAGCTTTTGCAGTGTCTGGCAGTTGCAGTTCTGATGCTGCGGAACCGTCTATACCAGACGGAAGGAGAGAGAACAGTTCATGTGAGGGGTGGGAAGTGTCCTTCACTGTGCCTGGAACTTCACACTGCTGACTGCGGAATCGTTGATGTGCAGTGGGGTGTGGGCTCTTCCTTTAGTTAACAACCATCTCTTTAGTCTTCTGAACATTAAGAGACAGGTTATTTTTTATTTTTTATTTATTTATTTATTTTGTCCTGTCCGGCAGCTTTAGCAAGCAGAATCATGGTCCGAATGCACTGCTGTGCCAAACATGTTTGCTTTACCATGAGGGGCTCTATAAACTCTGTATATGTCGATCGATTTCTTTTCATTTTATTTATTTATTTCATTTTTAGCACATGTAAAATATTGCGGTGGCTGAGCTGGCCGAAGAGGAGGGACAGATTAGGAGGGGGAAGAAAAAGAAAGAAAAGAAGGAGTAAGTGAGAAAGATAAGTCAAGAACGATAGGAGTAAAGTAGAAAACACATAAGGTTGTAATTTCGACACCAGTCCAGCAGGTGTTCTACTTCCTCTCTGTACGCAGACTCATCGTTATTGGTGATGAGACCTACTACTGTTGTGTCATCTGCAAACTTTATGATGTGATTAGAACTGTACTGAGCAGCACAGTCGTTTGTCAGCAGAGTGAACAGCAGTGGGCTAAGCACACAGCCCTGCAGGGAGCCGGCGCTCAGTCTGAGGACCTTGGAAGTGTTATATCCTATGGAGACAGACTGGGGCCTGTCAGTCAGGAAGTCCAGGATCCAGTTAGAGAGAGGGGTGTTTATCCCTAGTAGGTCCAACTTTTTTTTACCAGCTTCTGGGGAATGACTGTATTGAATGCTGAGCTGAAGTCAATAAACAGCATTCTGACATGTGTCCTTTCTGTCAAGGTGGGAGAGGGACAGGTGAAGAAAAGATCAAATGATATAATAGTTTTAATTAATGTAGCGCCAGACCCAAATACACAGTGTGGAAACACAAGGTGGTCAGACCCGAACTGTAAGGTGCACACACACCCGGTGGGGGATTTATGCGAGGCTCGCCGGGATGCTCTGATCTCACCGGCGCTTCATTAATAAATACTGCATATTTTATCTTTGTTTTTATAGAATTGTAAATCCAATTTTAAGTTAAATGTAATTTATTTTGTGCTAATTTATAAATTCTATGGTGATGGAAGACAAGTTAGTACAGTGGCCACAGTTTTCCATTAGTGGATTTTACCAGAACGTCTATTTCTGAAATTGCTGAAGCAAAGAAGGTGAGACGTCGTCTTCACTGTAAAAAACTGCAGCAGAAACCCTGTCAATGAGAAACTGTAGCATTTTTGTGTTATTAATTTCAGTATATTTATTTATTTTGGAGAAACTTGTGCTGGATTTGATAAAGTAAATTATGTGAACAGTATTCTCCTTATGCAAATAAATCCTGTCTGAGATACTTACAAAAATAGAATGAACATTTCCCCAAATAACAATAATTAAAAAAATCAGAAATTTTAATTAAGGATATATTTCACATAGCTACTAAAACACATACGTTAATAAAAGGCTAACATATTAAATCTCAAAATGATGGAAGCAAGGTGGATCTGAGGGAGGTTTTTGCTTTCTTTGAATATTATATGGGAATTTAGGCTGAATAGGCCATTTCTGTAATCTGTTTGTTTGTTGTCTTATAATGCCCTCCTTCCTGGTAAGCAATGCGTGAAGGTATTAGAGTTTATTATAAACGGCTGGGTGTCTCCAGAAAAATAATAAATGGGTGATTTTGATTTTACAAAGAGATACTAACATAAATTAGAAAAACATATTAAATATAGTTTATGATAAAAATTACAAGTCATTAGAAACATTGCTTTTTCAACATGGTTTTCAGTCAGAAATGCGCACAGAGAAGCTGTATCAGAGAAAATCAAGTATGACAATAAATGGTAAATGGACTGCATTTATATAGCGCTTTTCTGCTCCTACGAGCACTCAAAGCGCTTTACAATACATGCCTCACATTCACCATCCACACACCGGTGGCAGAGGCTGCCATTCAAGGCACCAACCTGCACACCGGGAGCAGTTTGGGGTTCAGTGTCTTGCTCAAGGACACTTCAACAGGAGGAAGCAGGGATCGAACCTTCAACCCTCCGGTTGCCGAATGATAGAATAGAAATAGAAACAATAGAAATAACTGTAACCAGACAGGCCTACCAGAGAAGCAGTTTTGGGAGATATGGATGGCTAGACATGCAATAGGCACGTCAAGCCTTCAGAACAAGAAACGCTTGGGGAAGTTATGGCTATTCTCAAGATAGGTGACGATGTAGAGTAGCATGTACTGTGCCTACAGTTTGGCAAGAGTATAGTATAAACCAGGGGTCACCAACATGGTGCCCCCAAGGACCACATGAGTGGCCCGCGGACCTGTTCTAAAAATAGCCCAACTCACCAGTGAGCAGTGTCTAAAATTTAATTTTATCCTGTTATTATTCTTCTTTAATCACATTTGCATTTATATAGATTTAAAAATGACAATATCTAAAAAAGCATTTAAAACATGTTTATTATACATGAAGTTTAGATAAGTTTAGGAGGGTGTTTCAAACTGGTAGCCCGTCTTATGGCTCAGTACCCGTGAAGTAGCTCTCAGTTTCAAAAAGTTTGGTGACCCCTGGTGTAAACTCTTCCTTTCTGGATCAGTTGAGGCTGAACAGCGCCCCCACATGCTTTTGGCCTGCCAGGTCGGCTTTATTCCCATCCGGCCTCCTCCAGGAATTACACCCAGGCTTTACCAAATTCTATTTTAACAGCAGCAGCTGGTTATTACATCTTTGCTAGGAAATGGCTCTTGCTCTATTGTATGACATGAATATTATTTTAACCAGACCACCTTCGCCTGTTCGGTGCTTCAAATCTCCACATATTCATCGCCACCCAGGTTGGAGGACAGTAGCACAGCTCTCCCTGGCTCATAGATGAATGTTCCACCTGTTTCTGGGGTGTATTTTATCTCATGTGTACCACCTGCACTGTATTATACACATACTATTTATTTTTTATATATGGTATTTCAAGTTACTATCTTGTACCACTATCCTTGTACTAGATTGAAATGTTTACCCACATTACCCAAATGTTTACCACATACCCACCATTGTATTCGATGCTGATTTCCCTCTTGGCACACAAAATTCCACAAAATATCACTAGAGAAAAACAGATGCTCTGAGCTGCCTTTGTATGGCCAAGAACATTTATATATATATATATATATATATATATATATATATATATGTGTGTGTGTGTGTGTGTGTGTGTGTGTGTGCCACCTATAGCCTGCTAATGAATGTGAACCTGTGATATCCTATTATATAAATGACAGGTCAGGTCTTTTTAATTACTGAGGTTACATTGCTGAAGTAGCCCATGAAACTGCAAGTGTCTCTGTTTCAGATTAAGAAGTTGGACAAAGGAGGCTTTTCTTGGGACTGACCTGCATTCCAACGAATCAAAGCTAATTGATGTCACAAGCCCCTACATTAAGAAAAGTGAAGCAGCTCATAGCATTTTCTCATGGCTTTGAGCACTGATGTGAAGTTCTCTGGAGCACGGATGGTGCTGGCGAAATAGAACTAAGACTTTTATTTTCTATCACTTCTGAACAGTATTTGGACTTGTGAAAATGAAGGTTTATGACCATATATTTTTGCCGATTTTTGTATTGGGCTTTATTTTATTTTGCGCGGGGACCACATTTAACGAAGAACTGAACAGGGAGAAACCATTCAGGCATATATCTACGGGTGGGGGGGTGATAGATGTTCCTGATGGAAGCAAGATGGATCTGAGGGAGAAGAGGGCTGCTTCAGTTGATGCCTGGGACTTTGAGTGCCATGCACATGCCCCCAAAACAGAGGGGCCCAAGGTCCAGACCAGCTATGGAGCCATGCAAGGTCTCATCACAGACATGGTGTACATATTCTACGGGATCCCCTACGCTGATCCTCCTGTTGGTGCGCTCCGTTGGAAGCCCCCGAGCACGGTGACCTCCTGGAAGGGAGTGTACGACGCCACCTTCCCCAGAGCTGCCTGCATGCAGTCTTGTGTTGATCCTTGTGCTACTAAGGTAACATAACTTTGCTCATTGTGCAATTTTTAGCCCATTCATGGAAATGGAGAAGTGCTCAATAAGATACGGCTATTAGCACTCAATCTTAATATTCCTCATTCAGATGTAGCATCTCCCTAAAGCTGTTGCGTAGAACATGAGACCCACCTACCCTCTTTCATTTCAGTGGTCTATTTTTAGGTTTAGATACCTATGTGTTATTTTAAAAATAGTGGCCATATTTGAAAGATTAAACATACAAGTAACTATCCATAAGATCGTAGGCTATATTATCATGTTTTTCATTAAAACCATAATATTGGAAACATATTTAGGATTTCTTATGTGATACCACCAGATCATGTGAGCGGAGCGGGCAGAATTTGGTCAGAGCGCGGAGCGGTTTTTTCATTAAGGCTGGAGCGGTCGCTCTGTCGCTCCAATTTTGCTCCGATACCGCTCACACTACGACTCTGAGGCGTGCCCAAATCTACATAGAATTCATCTGTACAATTATCAAGACTGTTACACAAATTGGCCGAGATGTAATTCGCAAAGTATTTCACAAAGGAAACTGATAAATAATACAAGTGTACTATTCTTATCAAACGTATAGATGACAATAATGTAGAGCAAGAACAATGTGGTGAAACTGTTTCAGTGAGTAAAGATTCACTTTGGAATCACTTTTCTCAGAAACATGACAGTGTGCTACGCGAACAGGCGGAAGCCAGAGCAAAACGTGAGCACGTTTTATATGGTTGTAGCATATCAAGTCTATAAAATAAATTAAAGTATAAAAGCCTATAAAGTAAATATTGGTAATCAAATAAATTCGTTTTGACATTCAAAGTAGGTCTAATAGGATTTTTTTATATTTTACGTAACGCTGTCAGTGAAATTTTATTTTATAGAGAGACGCAGCAGCATCAACAGAAAAAAATGAGGAATTTAAAACGTGGATGCTTAGCCTGTATATTCGTTAGGCTATTAAGCCCACTGATTCCTTTATTTTTAAGCCTATTTTTGTGTGGAATGCCATTGCCAAACCTGTCCGTTGTTGCCTATATGTTGCTAAAAAATAAATATTTTCTGAGTGGCAATCATGTTGCCGTTGCTCATATTTCTTTATGATATAAGGCTTCGGTTTAAGGTGACATTTGTTAGGCATGCAGATTATTTGTCCCTCTTTTAAACTGGAGCGAGCATGGAGCGATTTGACTGGAGCGGGAGGAAATTTTAGTGGAGCGAGGAGCGGTGTTGAGCGGAGCGGCTTAGTGCGAATTAGAGCGGAGGAGCGGGCGGAGCCAACAGCCTTGTGAGCGAGGAGCGGAAATACTCACCGCTCCACTCCGCTCACATGCTCTGGTCACCACTCACCCAGAGGAAGGCATATTTCTTCCTGGTAATCATGAATGCTATAGTTTTGTTTAAAGGCTAATAGTAATTAATAGAACATATAATTACTATATGATCAGGTCATTATACACGCAGTGGTGTCATCAGAAATTTTTTATTGGGGTGGTCATAAAGGACCATCTATATTTCTGGGGCTGTCCACACCGCACCGTTTCTATTCTATGGGTCTGGTTAGGAAATAAAATTATATATATTTTATATTTTCTTTTTATTATTTTGAACAGGGGTGGCCACATATTTACTTGGGGTCACTTTGGCCCCCGATTCCACCCCCGTATACAATGTACAGCTTCACAAGCATTTTTTAAAATGGACTGTCACATCCATCAATACTTCTGTTTTCCACAGGTAAGCGAGGACTGCCTGTACCTCAACATCTTTGTGCCTTTAAATGTTAACTTTTCGACGCCCCCGTCCGAACCCATGCCTGTCATGGTCTGGATCCACGGCGGGGATTTTGTTGCCGGAAGTGCCTCCAACACGCTGTACGATGGCAGGTTCATTAGCAACTTCACCCACACGGTGGTGGTGAGCGTGGAGTATCGCTTAGGTATGACGAGGTAGCTTGGTGACCTGAGAACCATTAATGTGATGCCTTCATGATTGAGAAGTTGCCTGAGTAAATAGTGCTCTAGCTTCCAAATTAAACACAGGAAGCATTATGAATGTGATATTGCAGCTTTACACTGAGAGTTTTATGAGTCTAATGGAGACCTATGATCTGTTTCTGATCAGGGCAGATTTAAAAGCTTAAAAGATTGAAATGGCTTAGTGGTATAGAGCTAAATGCAGAGAGCATGTCTGCACAGAAATAAAGACCTTTTGACATCCACTGACATATTTTAGGAGCTTTTGGATTCCTCGTTTCCGGCAAAGACCCCAAAACAGCAGCTGTGGGAAACTTTGGGATCTTGGATCAACAGGCAGCCCTGCTCTGGGTCCAGCAGAACATCGCTGTCTTTGGGGGTGACCCCAACAAGGTAAGCCTGGAAAGGGGGGGGGGTTGTTTTGTTACGAATATATGCAGGTGGTTAGTCAGAAAACCATTCAGCGAAGAAAACATGGCTGAACAAAGGTTTTAAAATAAAAATGCTGGCGCAGCATGTAACACTTTTGCCTCACTTTCAGGGTTGGGGTTTTCCTGTGTGAGGTTTGCATGTTCTCTCTGTGTCATGTGGGTTTTATCCCACAGTCAAAAGACATACAGTTAAGCGAATTGCCTAATTCGTAAATTGCCCATAATGTATGAATGCCTGAGTGTGCGTGCCTTGGAATGGACACCCCAATGCACCCCAACCTCGTGCCCTGTGCTGCCTGGGATAGGTTCCCGGTTCCCTGTGACCATGGAGGATGCATGAATTGTAAATAAAAGGCTGAGACTGACGTCGCGCTGTACCTCCTACATGGAATATGCCGGCAGTGGCATTCATGAATGACGGAAGGCCAGACAAAGGCTTCAGCGAGCTCTCACGCTGTGTCTGTGGTGAGCCGTGTCCGTCACACAGCTGATCGAACACAAACACAGGCATATGCAGCCACTGTCGGCCTGTCCGGCTGTTACCAGGCGCAGTGCCAGCCTTTGTCTGCATGCAGTGCAAATATAATACACTCAGGATGAATTCAAGGTGTCGGCCTGTTCAGGATGTGTTATTGTGAATGTGAAGCCATAACTAGCACTATGTTGTTTTAAGGGTTATTCAGACAGTTTTGCCTGTTAAGATGGGTCAGTGCTGCTCAGCCCATTAGGTGACATAGGCAGCCACCAAGGAGCCACCATCTGAGGGGGTGTCGACTTGTCAACCACCTTCGCTTTGTCTCAGATGGGGGGTGCCGGTGGTGATGCTGGCTTAGCCTCCCACCTGGGCTTCTACAGGCACTGAGATGGGTATCAAAATACTCCCTCTTAAGAGTGTGTGCGTGTGTCTGTCTGTCTGTTTGTCTGTGTGTGGGGGGTGAGAGGGTTATGTATATAATACATTGTGGGGACATTTGGTCCCCATAACTTGATGAAAAAAAAACCTGTTATTTTGATGTCGTGGAGAAGATTTTTTTTGGTTGCTGCAAGGAAAACGCAATTTTATAAAAATCTGTGACTGCAGTCCAAAAAATTTAAATGACAGATGTCTTAACATAAGAACACAAGAACATAAGAAATTTACAAACGAGAGGAGGCCATTCGGCCCATCAAGCTCGTTTGGGGAGAACTTAACTAATAGCTCAGAGTTGTTAAAATCTTATCTAGCTCTGATTTAAAGGAACCCATGGTTTTAGCTTCCGCTACACTAGCAGGAAGACTATTCCATACTCTAACTACACGCTGTGTAAAGAAGTGCTTCCTCAAATTTGTTTTAAAATGTTCTCCCGCTAATTTCCACTTATGGCCACGAGTTCTAGTATTTAGACTAATATTGAAATAGTCATTTGGCTGAACAGCATCCAGACCCGTTAGAATCTTATAGACCTGAATCATATCCCCCCTTAGTCTCCTTTGCTCAAGGCTAAACAGATTCAATTCCGCTAACCTCTCCTCATAAGACATTCCTCTAAGACCAGGAATCATTCTCGTAGCTCTTCGTTGCACCTTTTCTAAGGCAGCAATGTCCTTCTTGAGGTATGGTGACCAAACCTGCACACAGTATTCTAGGTGGGGTCTTACCAAGGAATTATATAAGTGTAACATCACCTCCACACACCTAGAGATATAACCCAACATTCTGTTGGCCTTTTTTATTGCTTCCCCACACTGGCGAGAGTGGGACATGGAAGCATCAACATACATACCGAGATCTTTCTCGTAATCAGCTACCTTTATTTCAGTGGAACCCATAAAATATCTGTACTTTATATTTCTGCTCCCTGCATATTTCTGCTACCTTACATTTATCTGTATTTTCTTTGGTTATTTAGAGCTAAGGATAGGGCAGGGTAGGGGTTAAGGTTGTCATTATTGGTATTAGGGTTTTTCCCAGAGAAATGCATGGATGGTTCCCACAAAGACATGAATACAAATGTGTGTGCGTGTGTGTGTGTGTGTGTGTGTGTGTGTGTGGATTATGTTTATATTGCATTGTGGGGACCATTTTTCCACAAAGATCCGTGAATGCAATCAAAAAAGTAAAAATGCCAAAAGATTCATATTTTGTTTGGTTACTTATGGTTAAGGTTAGGGCTGGGTAGGGGTTAAGGAAATGAATGGAGAGTCCCGACAAACATATAATCACAAACCGCTGTGTCTGTGTCTGTGTGTCCACACCTCTGTGTGTGTGTCTGTGTGTGTATGTGTGTGTGTGCGTGTGTGTGTGTGTCTGTGTCTGTGTGGGTTCCCATGCGACCCAGGTGACCATCTTCGGGGAGAGTGCTGGAGCTCAGTCCGTTAGCCTGCACCTGATGTTGCAGAACAGCCAGCCCCTGTTCCAGCAGGCCGTGATACAGAGCCTCCCCTTCACCATGCCCTTGAAGAGCAGGTGAGAAGCCACCCATGGCCAGGCACACAGCTGCCCGTTAGTCACCCCACACAGGAAGCCATTTACACCTACAATGACGCTTACTGTAATTACATGCTGATGTCCCCACAATTAATTGCTGGGAATGGGGTTAGGGTTGGGGTTTCCATTTTCAGTGAGTGATGGACAGAGTGAATTTTTCATTACTTAAAAAATGTGAGCACGGTTGAAATTTTGAAATTTGTTGCCACAGTTGATGCCATTATTTGTCATTTTTTATAGCTTCCCTCACGTTTTTGATTAACGAAATGAATGTAATTTATATAAGGTGTCCGACATCTTTAGACATGAATCAACACAGAAGTTCAGACAGCATGGCAGCACCTGAGAATGACCGTCCCTTTCAGCGTCTCCACTGTGGCCGCGATCACTGTCTTTTTCATGCCTAGTAACTGAACACAGACCCATATGAGCCAATAAAGACCAAAGGCTTTGTTCCATGTAAGCGGCAGAGGTGATTGGCTGTCTTCTGGGTGGCTGTAACTCACTCAGTCTCTCTGGATTTCTAGACATGAGGCTTTGTGGCTGGGGAAGGAGTTTGCCAAGGTGGCAAACTGCTCCATCAATGACATTGCCTGCCTGCTGTGTCTCAGTCCCCAGGCGGTGTTAACAGCCCAGATGATAGCAGGTAGGGGCATTTTCGGTAACACTTTCTATGAAGCTGTCATTTATAATGCCTTATAGATACCGTCATAATGCATTATAAAGCATCTATAATGCATTATTATGGTGAGAATGAATGGATTGGGCAGTGCCAGAAAATGAGAATCTGGGCACAGAGATGCCAGGTACAAATCTGGAAGGTGTGATCTAGTCGCTCAAGATGCATTTTAAAAGCAGGTGTCAACAGGGCCTGTGTCACAATTAATCTTTGATGTCTTTATTGGAGTATAATATGATCATAGTACAGCAAAAGAGAATCGACAATAGTGGTTTTTTAACTTGAAGCAAATACAGTAACCCCCTCACATTCATGGCCATTAAACATTAACAATTATTTGGATATTTTTTGAATATTTTTGGATTCTGAAAGATCAAGAATCTCGAACACGATGTGTAAAGCAAAAACAATACTGAAAATGATTCCGATCACATAAAATCATAAAATATATAAATTACATTATATTTGTTAGTGTGAGTGCACGCTGTATCATTGACATCAAAAGTCTTGGCTTGAGTACACTGTGCACCTTTGTCTCGGTAACCTGCTTCACTCACTCATTAGCTGCCTAAGTGACTGTGGAATCTTGAATTCCTCGCAGTAACTTGTAAACAATCCAGTGTCGGTAACTGCATTTTAATAATGGATGCAGTAACTTTGTACATATATGGGTATAACTTCATTGGTTACAAGGCAATTTGACATGCGAAGTGTAGCATACAGTGCAATCTAGCAGACTGGTTTGGTTTGGGATCAGGGATACCCAAGTATTAAAGTCAGTGTTTCACTGAGATTTGCTGCCATCTTTTTCTCCCACAGGCTCTAATATGGTCAACCCATTCCACTTACTGGAGATGTTTCAGACATGGGGGCCCTTCATTGACGGCGTGCTGATCAAGGAGCAGCCCATCACGGCCTTCCAGAGGGGCGACTGGCAGAAAGAAAAGCCCCTGCTCCTCGGTCAGTCACATGACCCTCAGACCTATAGCGTCCTACGAAGGAAGGTGTACACTATCACATGAAGCGGCTCATCGCTACATGTCCAGCAGACCAGCTAACCTGCCTTTAGCAGCAAGCCATGACTGAAATAGAGCAATAGTCTTTTAGATGTCTCATTTTACGGTTATTACCGTATTTTCCGCACTATAACGCGCACTGCATTATAAGGCGCACCTTCAATCAGTGGTCTATTTTCAAACTTTTT